TGGTTTAGTCAAGCTTTTTAAAGACCAAAAATGCACATTTTAATAAAATGTGAGGTGTTTAGTCAAAGCTTTTTGAGAGAAAATAAGTTTTTCTGAAAAGTAGTAGAAACAATTTTTTAGAAGCTAAAAAGAAATTAGTTTTTCCCTAAAAATACTTTTCTGGAAAGCACTTCCGATAAAAATACACTTAAAAGACACTTTTAAAAAGTTTGACCAAATATTAATATGGTTGTTCAAAACAAAAACTAGTTATCACAAAAGTACTTATGAAAAAAACACTTGTAATAAATAAGTTGATGTTTAAGGGCTTGACTAAATAGATTACTAATTTGCAAGAGCAATCAAATCTTTGTTTCATAATGAACCATTTGAAAATAAGCTGAGATTTTTGGTGATTAGATGGTAACTAAGGCATACATGTGATCTATTAACTATTCCCATAATCACTCCTTTGGAAACATTTGAAATATTTGAAGTGATGTAAGAACTACAAGATTGACAAGAAAAGAATTTAATTTCAAAGAAGGCCCCATATATTATATCATTGCAATTCATAAATGAAGTTGCTTTAAAGTGAAGATATACTAGTATTATGTCCCACCTACAATCAATTCCAAAGAATAAATAAACAACAAAATGATTTATGCCTTCTAAAGTATGTACATAAGAGTGTCCAATGGACAAATTGGATTGAATTTGAACGAGTCAAAATAGATTGAGCTAATAAATGATTGAGTCATTAACTCGTCCAAAGGGTCAGTTGGGTGAAGATGAATTGGGTCAAAATAGGCTAAATAATAGATCAGGACTCAACTGATTCATTCTTACTAAGTCCTACTTTCATTGGTTGTTTTTCGTAAGAACCTAAGAATCTTTATTTTAATTATGACTATATATAATATATCAATTCAACTTTTAGATATACTAAAGTTAGATATACTAAATGGGGTGTGGAGGGGCTTAAAATAGGTTGAGTTGGTAAATGAATGGGTTAAATCTTTTGAATGCGCTAAATTGGACATGTCAAAATGAACTGAATTAATAAATGGTTGATCAAGTTACACAAAACATATTTCATGGCCAAATTTTGCCACCCCTATTCACCATTCATGTATAATTAGTTAAAAAGGAATAGAAACTACATTGAGAATGTTGTTAGGATTTAGGAATTACTAAAACTGTGTCAGGGAACGCTTTACCCTCAATATGGGACTTCTCGATGCAAATTCGAATTTAGTCAGACTTCAATATGGATACCGAACACCGGATAGAAAACCAAAAAAAAAAGGTTACAGGAAAACTATCACGATGCTCTTATTTATTTTCCTCTTTAGAATAATTTCCTGCAAGATATACAGTACCTTGTCCAAGAGACTTAAGTGGTCCATTTTGTCTTCCTATTATTTGTAATAGCTTCTCTACCTCCCAAGATCCAGGTCTACATACTCTCTAGTCTCTACCTTTTTCAGACCGCACTTGTGAGATTACATTAGATATGTTGTACTATTTGTAACAACTATTCTTTTGCCTCTATACTTATAACAAATGAATATAATTGGTGAAAATAGACCACTAAATGAACTTATTTTAACCTAGGTGAAAAATAGATTAAAACTCAACCCTATTGGTGAAGACCAACAAGAAGGTAAAGTCTTACCGGGTGTGGTGTTTATCCTGAATCAATGAATACATGACACGTGTTTTCACATACATTCTTGTCTCTAAACTATGGTTAATTAATGTACACTCTCACCTTGATCATTGGTAAATTAGTATTGTTTGGTGTCAACATCGCCGCAGATAATTTTTACCAAAAGACATTCTAAAGCTTGTACTTAGCAGATGATCAAATTTTGGCTAAATGCACTTATTGTTAGATAGTACTCAAAAAGAAACTTTACTCCTATTCCAATTTTGCTTCTCTCCACCTTTCATCTTCTCTTTTTTAAAATCAAATATAGGGATATCCCAAATTGGATCATTTTTTCTGCATCGACACGATCAATACTACTATCGAAGTGAAATAAGGAATCTAAAGAAGAGAGGTCATATTAGTAACAAGGTTTTTTTGGTTAAAAAAGGCATTTCTAGACATTTCTCTATTCAGATTTTACAAATTATAAGACACAATCAATCAATTATACCCTAGTCTAGATATCTGTCCATCTAATTTCTACAATTTGAAGCAAAGAGGAAAGGTACTAATTTCATTAAAGAGTCAAACCTTTCGAGCAAAAATCAAATAAGACAATCATGATGCATAAGAATGTTTGAACTTTATCCCCCCCACCCAATTATGAATTCTATTTATTTTAGTAAAAATTAGGCAAATGACATAGTATAAGAAAGAAATTACTTCCTTTCCCTACTCTTTCATTAATTACCAAAAATTCCTTTCTTTAGTGTTTTTCGGATACATAATATAGCAGTGTGGATACTTAATCTAGCAACGCGGATACTTTAATTAATAACAGGCGGATACTTAAATTATTAAGTTGTTAGCAGCACGGATACTTAATTAACGGGCGGGTGCATAATATAGCAGCGCAGATACTTTAATTAATAACGGGCAGATACTTAAATTATTAAGTTGTTAGCAGCACAAATACTTAATTAACGGGCGGATGCATAATATAGCAGCGCAGATACTTTAATTAATAACGGGCGGATACTTAAACTAATAAAGTATCCGGTTAAGTTGAATTGGGGGAAAATAAGGGATTTTTGTATTTTAGTAAAAAAGTAGGGAAATATTGAGAATAGGTAAAGAAGTGTTGTGTATTTAAGTAATTTTTCCTTTATTTTAAGGCCTAATCCACTTAGAGCCCGTTTGAATTGGCTTTAAAAAGTAGTTTTTAAATCAAAAAAAAAAAAATCAAACTTAAATGACTTTTTAAGCCAAAAAATAAAAAGTAGGGGAGACCTACTTTTGGTTTTCAACTTATTTTAAGTTGCTTTTAACATTGACAACCACTTCCCAACTTATTTTAAGTTATTTTTATATTTGTTAAGCACTTCCAGAAGTTAAAAACTGACTTAAAAGTAAGTCTGATCAACTTTTAAGCCAATCCAAACACCCTCTTAATCATCATAGGCTTCATATCCCCACTTTGGCAACCTATTTACCCAAGTTCTCAATGCCTATAATTGCCAAGCTCTAATATTACTGGTCACTAGTATGGAAATTGGAAGACAACCCATACACCCCTAAAAGTCTATGATCACTTAGTTTTCCTTGGCCTTGTCATCCATCACTTCGCGTATTCTCTTTTTTGATAATAGTGGTTTCCTCGCCAGCTTACACATAACTTGATTAATTCCACAAGTTATTTGCTACCTCCCACCAACACAAGTACCGGATACCTCTATTTACCAAGACTTGGACGATGAGTAGAAATCACCTAGTATATATGCTACTTCATTGCCCACTAGGCCACACTCTTCAGTGAGATCCATCACTATGCTTCTTTTTGAGGACCTATGAAAAAACCTCTCTTGCCTATTTGGCTATTCATGATTGCTATATGAGGATCACTTATGGATTTGCAAAAGGCAGGAATTACATTTCAAGCTAAGAAAAATGTTTTTATAAGTTTTACTCCAGCTGGAGGAATCCAAGGACTGGAGAGAATTGATATGATGAATACTTGAGTTTCTTTATTAATCAAGACGCACTTATATGTATATAAAGTATCTAGCATGCTGAAAAGAGGGTTTCAAGGTCATGTAATAGTAAAGCTTCTGAACAATTTATTTTTTTTAACCGTAGTGCCAGGCCAGATTGTGCGTACCTAGACTAATTCTACGGGATACCAGGTTACTCTATCCAGAAAGGCTAGGATAAATGGGAAACAATCATCAAGTGTTTTTATCTCTGTTGGAATTTGAACCTGAAACCTCATGGTTCTCAACTCACTTCACTGACCAACATAATTTTTACCTTGAAAATAGGGGGAAAAAGAAACCAAATGAAAGATATGACAATAATGCTACATATGCACAACATAGTAATGACATCAATCTTACTGCCTCTGCATCAGTTCTCCAATTCAATCAGAAGTTTGAAGGAAAGGCATAAAGATGAAAGGAGTGAAGCAATGATACCTCTTACCCCTTACAGTATTTGGGTGACAAGAGCATCAAATGCAAGAGCAAGATGAAACAAAAAAAAGAACCGCATAAGATAATCAACTAATTTATGAACCTGCACAGGGATGGAAATAAATATGAAGAGAAAAGGTAGCAATCGCTAAGTTGTAAATGCATTATATACTTAGCAATGAGACGTTCAATCACTTTATATCATCATCTGTTCTTGATCCTGATTGATCTAGGAATGCTGCAGGCATCAAACTGTAGAACTTACAAAAAGGAGATGGTAAGAAGAAGGAACTTGCTTAATGCCATCGGAAGTGTAATTAAGTAGGCATCTTGCCAAGTGAAGACCAGAATCAGACAACAACCCACCTCTGGAAATTGAAAATAAACAGAAAAAGAACATTGTAAACCAAACAAATTAATTAGTGATCTTCAGTAACATCGTATAATTTTGATGTCTTTTAATAGTTCTAAAAAGGATGTGGTCTCTTAATAGGTAACTTTCTCATTACAATTGGAAAATTCAGGTCATTGATTTGAACAAAGTACAATTCTGAGATGCCAACACCACTTGGATTCAATATGGAAACCTGACAAGCAAATACGCATGCTTGCAGCATCAAGCAAATATTATGGCCAAACTAGAAGGAACATGAACCAGTTCATGGAAACATCAAAGAGAGTTCCTTCATACCTAGTAAAATTATGACTTTGGCTTTGAGATACAACAAAGAATTGTCGATATGCATTGAAGATCTAAATGCTATCTTGTTTTCCATAAAATAATTGATAATAAGGTTCTTGCTTTGACCTGCATCGAGAGGCATCTGTTTAGGTGAACGTCAAACTTCAAAACATAACAGAATTTTGAGTATTAAAGATTTGGTGAAATAAATCCTCACTGGAGTGGGACTTTCTTCTTCAGTCAGCATGCTCCCGGAAACGTATGATATTATTGATAAAGGTCCTCTCGCGACGATAGCTGAAGATTAAGATAGATAAGACTCACGAATATACACACAATACTTTCAGAATACAATTTACTTAAAGGACTTTCAAATAATAACAGTTAAGTTTTGATGTTGTCTTTAAGCCTAGTTTACACTTTACCACACTTCTAGTCCACAGTGCATTAGACTACAAAATGTTAGTTCCGCCAAAGTCGTTTAACAGTCATTTTTGCAAAGAAATGAACCTTTGGCTTAATTCAACAACAAAAACTAGCTCAAAAGGTGAGAATTGCCCAAGACCATACAAGATAACAACACAACCAATGCAGGACAATTTAATACACACACACCCTCCCGGCACATGGCCAGACCTGCAAACTGGTGTGTGGTCAACATAATATGGGGGCCAACAATGGGACACATAATAATAGGGACGGTTTTGGCTCTGATACCATGTTAAGAAATGGACCTTGATCCTAACTCATGAAGTGAGGATTATCCCAAATTATATAAGGAGACAAACAACTCATCTGCCAAACCAATGTAGGACAACTTAACAATATTCATAAGCTCCCAACAATCCCTTCTGAAAAGAAAAAATATATATGTATGTGAGTGCGCACATTTTCGTAAGTGTATGAGAGAGAGAGAGGAAGTCAAGAAATGAAAGGCTGAAAGGTCACCTGGGAGGGAGTTGAGAGTGCTTTACAAATAACCTAGACAAGTTTCAAATACTTCATGGGTATACAGAGATTCAAATCTTCTACTTACATGATAAAGGCTGCTAGCATGAAACTGGTTATGCCCACTAAGAAGTGAATGCTAAATGTTCTCCAGAAGTCATCCGGATCCAGAAATATCTTTTCTGAAACTAGAGTGACTATTCCAGAAAAAAGTAGAAAGGTCCAACCAGAAGGCAGGCATCTGCGAAAGGAAAATGAGGACGAATCCTGAAAAAAATCCGAAGAATATATCATCGTCAGAATCCAAGGAAATACTGACTTCTCAAATCTTTACACATCCAAAAATCACAAGCATCCGGAAAAATACCTGGAAATAGTTCCTGATGAATACTGCTGAGTAAGTGATCCTAAGAGCCATATCTTTTAAAAGTCAAGGAACTAGTGGCTACAAATTTTAGATGTCCTTAAGGACAACCTACAACATGTTTCGCACTTCCAACCATTTAGTGAGCCACTCATGGGCTTCCAGTTCTGTATACAGATGCAAGTGCAATAGGAGAGTAAGCACAAATCACATTAGAAACTATTTCACTATTAGCAAGTTCCTGTACTTGTGAAAAGGGTGCCAACACGTGCTTGTTACCTTGACAAACTTGCAGATAGCCATTTCAGTTTAAGCAGTCAGCCAGAATGATACTATTAAAAATGTTTGCAACACTACTACAGCTGCACCTTTCTTACTAACTCCAAAACACAATAGCAATCATCAGGTAAACCCTACCTTCTCCTCATGCATATAAAGCTTCCTGACATCACCATAGTGAAAAACATGCTTTATTTAGCCTACTTCTACATATTAGAAGTGTTCCTGAAAATAGTTCTTTCATAAAATGATTGATTATGACCTTGTAACGTGAAAGATGCTGAAAATAAAATATGCAACCCTAAGTATGGTTGCAACATGTTTACTATCGTCAAGACAACACCAAACTGCAAGACCTTGCCTTATTTCTGAACCAAGCTATATGGTGAGAACAATGATCATCATTTTTTTTAGAACAAAAGCAAACACTTCAAAGTTCCATAAAAGAAAAATATAGAACTTTAATATGTCATGAAAGGATACTCAAAGAATTAGCTAAAATCAACCCAATCGCACCAGCTGAATGTATAAGAGAAACATTCAACACCAGATAAATCAATGAGAATACAAGCAAGGAATCATTTGAGCGCTTGAGTTGAATCTCATTTGCGACCGCATGCAAAAATGCTTCTGATGTTCCTGCACCAAAGACAGAGAAAAAGTCAACAGGATTCACAATAGATCTGTAGACTAGTCACCAGGGTAAATTCAACATATCATCTTCACAAGCTGAAGACAAACACAGAGCAAATTAGTGGAAAAATCTTTAGGTCACATCATTCCAATTAATGACGCAGGTTACAGCAGAAGAGAACACACCTGATTGTAGATTTCAGCTACTTGAAATAGAATAAACAAGCTTTTAACAGTTATTTAAAGCAGCCTTATCAGAAAAATGTAAAAGGAATAAACTGATTCATAAATGATCGAATTAATAAAACAAAAATTTGTATGGAAAAAAAGCTAAAACCTCCAACAATAATTCATAAAGGCAATTGGTAACAATGCCGTATTAGCATAGTACTAGCTGCAATGCACTGCAACGACTTCTGGAGTTCTTCTGGATTGATAAGAACTTAAGAACAAGTACGGAAAAGATCACAGATATCGGGATCTTTTGTTCGTATCATACATGTATATACTGTATTTTAGCTGAAAGATGCAGGAAGACTCTGCCAGTGTTATCAAAAGTGAAAAATGCAAAAAAGCTCTAAGGTCTATGCAAATAAAGCTTGGGTTTTAATGAGAAAAGACGCAAATGGAAAAAAATTACAAATACATGTTTACTCCAAGATAAATAATTATAAGCACGAACAACAAATATATGGACAACGAAATTGAAAATATTATGATAAACTGATATTTCAATTGTTTAGTGCAACCCCTTTAGGAAGGGCTCATTGGCAAGGAAAAGTATGTCTTAGAGCCTTGATGACGACATTAAAGCGCATATTAAGCGAGGCGAAGCGCTCAACATGTTTTGAGCCTCGTTTCAGGCCTTAAGCACGCCTTTGACAACACTGAACTGTGTCCTGTCCTCATTGGTACATGACATCTGATGCTTAGGGACAAAAGCACAAAAGATGGCCTATTCCTAAAATATACCAAATTCATCTCCAACAAGATGATTGGCTGGGTAAGGCATGGCTTCATGAAGCTACCCATTTATATAGGATCCGAAAAATACAAACGAACTTAAAGTATCACGCAGAGGAAAAATCACCAAATCGTTATTCAGGCTGAGCAAATGTACAATAAGCAAGTTCTCGAACTCTCCACGCACCATACAAAAGAGGAGTCCGTCTAAAGGGATTTAAGCATGTTAAGACATGACTAAATAAATTAAAATGTCTCCTCTGTAACAATAAAAGTTTTCAGATGAGGTGATTCACATTTCACACAATTTCACATGGTATAGTGAGTTCAAGTGCCACTATCATCCATACTGAAAAGTATATTCACATGCTTGGTCCTATAAAAATTATCAGGCTAGCACGTCATAATTAATTAAATAACTAAAGCTGTAGACTCTCTAACAGTGTAGCCTTCTACCTGAAAAGATTCACATAATTTAATAAGACAAAAGAAACTTGCTATTAGTTCCATCTCTACCAAAAGGTACAATAAAAGTCACCAATTTAAAAGGCATGCATCAAGTTTGCAGCAGTTCAACAAGAATGAACAACAAAATTACTCACGAATGAACTTGGCCAGATTCCAGTTAAGAGCATGTTTTTATTTTATAACCTCCAGTTAACAGCATGCTTTTCAAAACTTATCAGAAAGGTGAAGAACTGCCTCACTCACAGAAATTTCTAACATGAACAGAACTCTCAAGTAATTTCTGACATGGAAGCTGCTGCGGTACAATTAAATTACAAACTCAAATGCATCAAAATAGAAAACAAAGTTGGGAATTCCAATCTTCACAACCTTATTTCCCATATACAAACAGCTCTGTTTCGATATCATTATTTACTAGATTTGAAGTTTCATAGGACCTGCTTAATTATAATCATATACCGTGCTTCTTGCTTCATAAGATAATCCAGTTATTAAAAAATAAACTAGTTTTTATGCAATGTTTTGACATTTTCTGAGAACTTCAGGTTGATTAGGTGCCAAGTATCACATTTGACAGATTAAGAGGTCCAAGGTTATTAATTATTATTAAACAGCTCCAATCCACGGGCTGAGGCCCACTTCTAAAATCTACATAATTGAGAAGAAGTCAAAAGCCCGCAATATTTCATGATCAAAAGCTTTTCATTTTAAGTCACAATATCAGGATATGGAAGGACGAATCACTTTGCCTTACTCACTATAAAATTAAGAACGAACCTTTTGAGTCTAGATCATGGTTAGTAGCCCCATCAGGACCTAGTGAAATTACCTCATGATAATACAAATGAACCATATAGTAAAAATGGCTACTCAAACAATCATTCTTTCCTTTTCTGTCTAAACTCTTGTGATGACAAGGGAAACCCACCGCCGCTACCCTGTGGGTGCCGCACAAGGTAAAACCCCCACTCTTATGCAATAGCTCGCAAACCACATAAGAGATGTAACCCGCACTAGGCAAGCCTGATACAATGAGTTTGACCTAGAAGGCAAAACCCTTGCTTTCACTATTAGGGGGTTTCAAACTTTTTTAAGTTATGCAATAGAAGGGGGGGTTTGCGCTTGAATTGAAGTAGCGCCTTTGGAATATGAGTAAGGCTCCTAAGTGGTGCGTTCGTGGAGGCAAACCGAAGGAAGAGCAAAAGGAAGGTTGGGTGCTTGTGGGGCACGGCCATCCGGCCTCGAATAGGAGGGAGGGGGTTTCGAACTTGAGACCTCCAACATGGAAGTCCCAAGCCCAAACCATTGGGCCACCCCGAAAGGTCCTTTTCTGTCTAAACTCTTAAGTAGAATTTTTCATGGATCACTCTAAAAAAGGAGAGACTTGGTTTATTTGGAACCATTTAAACTTATTTAATTAGTATTCCTATCGGATTTGTTTCATTAATCTGAATTGGGTTTAGTTATTATATGAGAAAACATTGTTAAGTGATAACAGCATAAGATTTTCATGGAAGTCATTATTTTTAAACTAATTATTCAATAATTGCTTTGTTCAGAGATTATAAATGTTTACTATTATGAAAACCAAACATGATCTTACCATTCATGGCCAACAGAATTACATAGAGGCAATAGTATCGTAGAGCTGTTGAGGCTTCTCCATCACTCCACTTGCGACCATACAGCAACCTAATGAGAGAGTAGGAATAACTAGGGCCAAAGGCCATGACTACCAAACCTACAAGAAAAGCAGTTTTGAGAATGATGGTTAGCTATTTGGAGTCTCAATTTGTTTTATGCACCTAATAGCTAAAATGAAATAAAAATTCACCAAGATTTTTCTATGTAATGAATACAAGCAGAGAGTGAAACATATTGTGTGTCAGTTTATTATTTGAAGCATATTTATGAAGAAAAAAAAGTGAAGCATGGGGCAATGATGCTGACACACCCAAGCAAAATGCCCAAGGAAAAACAAGTTTAAAGAACATATATTGAAACTTCTCATTTCAATGGCAGCCAGAAAACCAGTTTGCTAGACCTTTCAAAGTCTTAGGTAAGTCATAACATCCCTTCTTTATCCCCCCCAAAAAAGGGTCATAACATCCCAAATGCTGAGTACAATGTACATAAGCCTCTATCTTTTAAGGCTTTCAAGTACTTTTTTCAAAGGTAGATTGTGAATTGTCACCACAGTAGACATTGCCCAAAATACAAGTTCTCCTAATTTCAATTCAGGTCTTTATTAGCTTCAGGATTTAGTAGTCCATTCCACTCGTGCAAAAGGTTACTTCGGTAATTAGGGCACACATTTAATTAATTCATAAAAATTGTCAATTAATTAAAATCTCTCTGTTTGAATAAATAAGGTGGCCAAGTAATATGCTTTACTTTATATAACTTGTCCTTCAAACACCTCATATTTCTCTTTCCAGATCGCCCATATGATGCAAAACGGAGAAATGTTCCACTGTTTTCTGCTCATATCATACAGGATTGTGTAAAGAACAGTAATTAATAAGACAAAGAGAGGACATAATAGTGACTTCACATAGTTCTCACATTCGAAAAACAAGGTTAATTCCTGTAAGAAAATATATCCCATAATGTATAAGTTGTCAGAAGGTCAATGATCAGCACCCAGAATGTTTAACAGTAGAATAAGTTCCAAAAAAACGACATCATTGGTAAAACTGGATCTGAGAATTTCAACCAATGTTTGCTAAGATAACAGGTCTGAAAAGAGGAGGACTTGGCTCAACTACTAGAAGATGAACATTCATTTCTTATTTTACTCATTCAGTAACAAGTTCCTAATTTTATGACCCAGTAGGATATTAGTAGAAGTAGGTAACCACTAGTCTAGCTTTATAGAAAGAAAATTTTAAAGATATATTTCTTTTGAAGTAATATTGAAGCAAGTTCTGTTATGAAAGAATGTCAGAGTCACCTATTAGTAAAACAAGTTTCAATGCCTCGGTCAAACTTTTTCCCAGTTTCTTTTGCTTCTGTGTCTGTTCACCTGTCAAAACAGTAAAACAGTTTAGGTATCAAATTGCCACTTCAAATTGAATGAACAGAACAGAATTGGCATTAAGTTTATTTTATTATTATAGCTTTGCAGTAGTGACAAACACCAAAAATGCAATATCAGAAATGAGATTGTGTAAATGATAGTTGTTAAAGAAAAGGACCTTGGGCCTAACTCAACCCTAAAAGCTAGCTCATGAAGAGATTATCCAAGACCATATAAGAAGACCAAGGACCCTTTATCCCACTGATGTGGGACTTCAACCCCCAAGACTGGGGGGCCCAACATTGGATAAACTAATTTGTGATGGGCCTGACTCTGATACCATGTTAAAGAAATGGACCTTGGACCTAATTTAACCCCAAAGCTAGATCATGACTTAACCCCAAGGCTAGCTCATGAGGGGAGGATTATCCAAGACTATATAAGGAGACCAAGGACCCCTTATCCCACGGATGTGAGACTCCAACAGTTGCAAGTTTGGATATCAAGCTGTAAGTCATGGATGGAACTACTCATTGGGTTTTGGTGCACTAATCAGAACTCTAGGAAAACACAGTGTTATTTCTATCATCAATTCAAAGAAGCTTGGAAAAACAAGGGGAAAAGATGGCATTTTGCCTTTTGCTATCAAAGGCACTTCCTCTCTAATACCAGTTGTTTGAATAGATTAAGACTTTTTTTAGAAAAGTAACTGTGTATTATATCCAAAAACAGTACTTAGGTAGTACTGAAGATACTGGAAGAGTTAGTCTGACAAGTGCAGGATACAATTGATGTTAAAAGATCATTGGGTTCATAGAAGTAATAGATCAGGCAAAATCCTGTCAAAGAAATAAATAGACCAAGTAGCATCAGAAAATAATAATAAAAAATAGTTCATTTAGGTGGTTAAGGACTTAAGGTTAAAGAAAAAGATAAGCTCATTTTCTATTTCTTAGCTTCTGTTCATAATCGAAATGTAAGACATGCTGACAACTAGTAAATACCAGTATAACTGTGGTTTAACTGAATAAAAGTTTTTTAATGGGCATGGCATCACTTGAGGAACCACTATTCTATCTGTGTCTTGTCTTGAACTTCCTTAGAAGCCAATCAACAATCCTGTTAAGAACAGGTTCTGTTTGGCAAAAAGTGATAGGTAGGAGGATGATTATTTGTCATTTCCCTTTTGGTAAGTAAAAGTGGGTTATCTAACCTCTCAAATCTAGATTGAAGGAGGAATTATATCTCTTTTACTTCTCTTGTAATTGTGTCATAATTTATGAGGAATAATCCTACTAAGGAAGTAAATTGATGAACTTCTCTCTCCTTGCCCCTCCCTCCTTTCGAAAACAAATTAGCATTACTCACAAAGGTAACAATTATTTAGGTGAACAAAGAAATTGAGAAAATAAGATGATTACGATCAGCCAGAGTCCTAAAAGGAAGGCGAGATAAACCTGATGCAGACCTTGCAAATGTAGCATATGAACTTTCCTCAAATGGGAGAAACACCAGCCTAACCACTAAGCTGCCTGAAAAATCAATTTTGTATCCGGTAAAAATGACACATTTAAGCAAAATATGCTGCTATCTTAAGAAACGCGGTAAGTAGGAGCCAGAATAACTAACTAAAATACCTAGTTTATCTACAAGCCCATATACTGCTTGGTTATATGGTGTGTCCAACCATACAAGAACCAATTTTTCTCCTTCTTGAAGAATCAACTTGCGGAAAGATTGGAAGGTAAACAACATACACATTTTTGAAAGTTGCTCATCAATGCCTCCACTTCCTACACTAAAAGGATATTAACTGTCAACTAAAATAATGGTAGAGAACAAACATTCCAATAGAACTGTCAACATAAAAGGAAAGGGCAGAGAAATTTTGTTAACAAAGTTTAACAACTGATTACTCCAAACCAAAGGCAGGCTTTGTAAAGCCCCACAAGTTTCTAGATTAATTTGGGACCAATTTCGAACATAAATGAAGTTATTGAAGTGAATCAGAGGTACATGGACCCACACAAAGGTGTAGGAACATGGTTCATAAAGCAAAGTAGTAGTCCTTGAATTTTAGCCTGAATGCTTCAAACTGTTCATCACTTGAAGTTACACAGATAAAGTTATGCGCAATTTAATGAACAACATACTTCAGCTAAATGCAGCACAGATTTGCCATTGCAGCACACGCTAAACAGAGACACTGTCAATTGCAGTACAGATTTGCACTGCATCGCAGAAGTGTGGCTTGCGAGTCACGATGCAGGCTGGTGCAGGTTTAAGTATAAAAAAGAATGGGAAGAAAGAAGTTGGTTCCATTCTTTTAAATACAGGACATTTTCTCTCGACCCCAAGTCATCCAAGGTTTCTCCTACTACCAAAGGTAAGTTTCTAAATCGCTTGAAGTTAAATAACTGCTCTCAAACAATGATTCGAACAGGGCTTCATCTTGAACTAGATACCCAACAAGCATACAGGAACAAGTTAGGATTCAATTGAGAACTTTGCAACCCAACTTCTACTATGATTCTTAGAAAAATACTAGTTATAGAATTTGTTTGTAGGAACCACCATGAAAACCTAGGATGACTATGAACACTCAAAACGTAGAAAATCCAGCCAAGGGTTTCTAAATTGGGAAAAGCAAGAAACGTTAGAATTGATTCTTTTGATTGTGTATAAGTGATTTGGTGAATTGAGTCATTCAGGGTGGAGTAAATGGTTGAGCTAAAATGGAAGGAAGCGAGGAGAGTTGAGAATTGAGACAATGCTTTTACTATAGTTGTCTTACAAAAATCATGTCACATATTGTTGTTAAATTGTATAGAGCGTTAATGTGGATTTAGATTGGAGCGAGCGGGCTCACATTATTCATTAGAATTGCAGAAAAGTGTTTAGATGATTATCCTGTTTATTCGTCCAAGTAACGGTTCCATCATTGCATTTCATGACTTGCATACATTCTCAGATATTATAAAATGATGAAGTTTTTCTTTCATATGATTTGATAGGACTAGTTTGATAAGAATTAAGAACAAATAATGTCGACTTGAATTACATGATTATAGAACTGTTCAAAACAAGTTTTTAGAGTCCCTAGATCTCTGAGAGAGATTAGTAGCCTTCGGTGGGTTATGATACCTCGGAACTACTCGTGACTTAGTAGGTGAATAGTGTCTATCTAATCCAGACACTACAAAGCATAGCGCCTAGAAAGCATAACAATGCGAGCATGTTAGAATCTTGAATTGTGTGTCACCAACAAGGATAGAGCCTAGACAATCAGGTTAGGATCGTCCTTGATTTATACAGAACAAGAAATATGTCAGAATCCTTGATACTCCCCAGAAAAGCAAGAAAGAGAGATTTTCATAAAAAGAAAGTAAGTACAACAGAACAAAATATGAGTTGTTCAACTCAATTCTTCATGAGAAGCTTTTTTTTAGAATTATACCATGTCATGCATTCATACTTCTTTCAGAGTCTTGTTTCAGCAATAGTGGGAGATTTTTTTACTCACCGAGCACCATTGTGCATTTGTGCTGTACAGACGTTCCTTTGTTTTCTTGGAACCTACATTGATTTATGTCAATATAGGCACAAATTATTTAGACGGGCAGACTACAAGTTAGTTGCTCCTCCCATTCCAACAGATTCTTGGTAAGGTCCATTCCAGACTATGGAGTTCATTGCATTTGACTTCAACTTTTACTTCTATTTATTTTACTTGAGGATTAGCTGGTGAGCTATGTTCTGAGCAATCCACCCATATTCTTTAGAGACTTCATAGATGTAGTTGAGTCAACGATTTAGAGTTCAGATGTAATCATGTTTTCTTTCAGATATTTGATTTTATAGATGGATTATGCTAAATGTTTTCAGAATATGTCTCTCTAAACTTTAAGAAAGACATTTTCTTTTGGTTTTACATGTTGAACTGCTTGATAGAATAGAAAGAAAAGATTAGAAGGTTTGCTAGTTCAAGTTAAAGCACCAAGTGTCAGTTACAACTAGGTCAGGAATAGGGTTATGGAAGGCTTCCAATTATTCCTTCATATTTATTGCAGCGACATTCCCAACCACCCCTACTTCTGAAGAGGGGAAAAGAAGAAAAGAAGAAAAGAAGGAAGAAGATCTATTCTCATAAAAAAACTTCACTTGTTTTCTTTAGGACCAATACAGATGCATTACGTGTGTCTGCTCACATCTTCCTCTCTCTCTCTCTCTCTAGGTGATTCCGTACTTCGTCTGTAATTTTTCTATAAGCACCGCCCTTGTGCCTTACTTTGTGTGGAAAAAAATCATCATTTATCAAGAAAATATGAAATGTATAACATATATGTGAGCCAATAGAGAGGATGATGAAATATTAGAACTCTTACCTAAAAGGGAAGAGATCAGAACCGCTATACACGTGAAAAAGAAGAAAGTAGCCCCAGTAGCCAAAGAACACACAAGCTCCAAATGCGACTTGTGACAAGGCAAATACAATTGCTTTCTCCTGAAAGTAAGAAATTCTAATCTTCAATCCTGAACAGGTACACTATGCATCTAAGCCATTGAGCAACAACACAGTCCATCTTTTGCATAAACAATTTAAGACAGTAATTCATGTTACAAATGAACATGATTAAAAGAAGCTAACAGTAAACTTGCTTAAACTTAGTAAATAAAGATACATTAAAACAAACAACTAAAAGAGTAAATAATGCAGATGTTGTTGTTTACCATGCCAGGTAGATTTACAATGAGGATGTAAGTAGTTATACAACGTGAAAGGGTAGCTACACTTTCAACTACCAGTCGCAACTTGAGGAGAAGCAAATTCTGAGATAAGATGTAAAAGGGTTCAGCCAGTAGCTCCAGTATACATGCAAAACCTGCTCGGTGGAAATAAAATTCCAAATAAAATAAAAATGTCAAACAACAGAATTTTCAGTTACCAAAAATCACAAAATCAACTTCTGGGGAAGGCCATCGGTCTGATAATGCTACTATCAAGTCTCAAACCTCCAACCAGATGCAGGCAGAAGAAACAGTTCTAAGCAGGTCAGGATGACATTAAAATCACATCGAAACCAAAGACATACAGCCAATGAACTGGTTGAAAAAAATGCACACACCCAATGAATAACGATTTCAGAAGGGTCTAGATCCAAACTCTCACCAGTGAGTGTTCAAAAGCCAAAAAAAGATGCAACCATGAAAACATAATCAATTTTTTTTTCTGAGATGAGTAACCATGGAAAGCTGAAATTTCCTGGATCACATTGATAAGCAGCTTGTAGAATTAGCACAAAACACAATGCTTTAAAAGATTATATCAAAGTTTAAGCTCACCATTTATCCATATAGCCTGTGCAAATTGACTAGAATAACTTAGTTCTTGCCACCATAAAACAAAAATACATCCTGCAAATGTAATAATTATTCCCAAAGGGAGAGTCATCCATGCTACTTTCAAGAGTTTTGCTGCATTTCCTCTCCCTGATGATCCACCACTGCAATTTAAACACAGTAACATCCTTAAACATTAAACGCATAACCAAAAAAGATATTTGCAATGCAATTCACAAAGCAGTATATAAAATGGCAGAAACCAAAGGAAAAATTACCTTCATGTACTCATCACAATGTCAAACCAGGGAAATTAACCTGCTTTTTTTGGGGGCATTTTTTTTTTTATTTCCCTGGTTTGGTTTCATTTCCCTGGTCATGTCAAACCAGGTAAATAAACCCTCTATTTGCTCAATTTTAGGATCTGTGAGCTATTTGGAGTTGATATTAGGAGAGCCATCTAAACAGTCAAAAAACTGACATATGGTTTCCCAAAATATTGTATCCTCTTTCCCTTCCTCGCATATTTGTTCTGAGAACTCAAAACCTTAGCCAACCTATCTGCTCTCGTCTGTGTCAAAGACCTCTAAAAATATTTTCACATACTTATCCATGTTGTCACAAAAATATTAGTCTTTCATCGAAGAAGATGATGAAGCAGCAAATTGCATCGAAGAAGATGTAATTCCTTTGAAAATGAAATTACCAGTTGAGGAGGTTGTTCAAGACACCAACACTTCAGAATGGATTCAACAACAAATCATCAAACTAAGCGCTGAATTGGGTGTAGATCTTAAAGGGTGCGATGAGAAGGCCAAAAAATTATTTATGAAGATGGACAACAACAATCGGATGAACAAGGGGGAGCAAGCCATTGTAAAAAAGAAGGGGGTGAATGAACTGAAATGATTAGAGCTTGATGCCAAATTCTGTAGTTATGGCTCAAGAAGTAGGGGGGGATACCTGGCAATAAAAGATCAATGAAGTTGGAAAGAGTGCCTTGGAATGTTAGGGGGCTAAACTGTGGCAGAAAGAGGAGGCTAATCAGAAAGATTCTACATACATGGAAATCTGATGTAGTGTGTCTGGAGGAAACAAAGCTAACGGGGGATATCACAAAGATACTGAAGGAAGTTCGGACAGACCAGTTGCGGAAGATACTCATTTATCTGTGGAGGACTAAGTGGGTGAGGCAAGGGAACATAAAAGGATAGCTAAAATGCTGGAACAAGGATGGCAATGCATCCAAAGAGGAAGGAAGATGGAAGATTGTCCTTGCATGCACTTCGTGGACAGTGTGGAAAGAAAGAAATAAGAGATGTTTTGAAGACAAGCAGAGCATCTTCCAGGAGTTCAAAATGAATTGTTTAGCTCTGTTTTATTTTTGGTGTAGACATAAATTAATAGCTCAAACAGAAGATATTTTTGACGCTTTAGACTATTCATAGGAACAACAAATAGATGTTCAAGATGTACTTTAGAAGGGGGACTACATATTTTGATGTAGTGTACCAGTGGATATATAGACTAACTGTTACCATTCTCAAAAAAAAAATATTAGTCTTTCACCACACAGGGCTTTTTACATTTTTATGTCGATGCTGAGAAAAGCAGTGGATTTTGTGGAGAATTTAGGAAAATCCGAAAATACAAAAGTGGATGATTTTACAGACCTTCTGAGCTCTTTGCAGAGTAAATGAAAATCCTTGATGATACACCTGCCTAGTTATTTTAATTAAGTACAAATAAATACGTCTTCCTAAAAGAAGTTAAAAATAACAAGCATCATTAGGTATGATGTGAATCACATAAAACAGCCACAACAAAAGTATAAAAACCCGTCTTATTAACTATGACCATGACAACTTGAAGAAAAATATATCTTACTGCATGAGATAAATAGTGAACTCTTTAATCTCAATAATGAGACACAGTTGTGACATGTTTCCACTGATTGATATTTTTACTCTATTGAAGCTAAAAGAAGTTGTGAAATGAAATGCGAACAACAAACCTAAATGTAGCATCATAGTAAATGTCCAATAGTACCTATAAATGTCTGCCCTCATGCATGCTCGTCTGAAGCCCTCTCGACTAAGAAAAAGCACACAAGTAATGAACAAGTGAAATTGTACAGCATACAACTGCATGATTTACCAACAAGATGTTAGACACTTTCCTGTACATAAAACCAAGAAATCAGGTTGAGAAGTATAATAAAGCAGCTGAGTTGATAAAACAACTTCTGGAACTCAAATCACCACAAAAATCAAAGAAATAATGGCTAATCGATTTGGTACATGTAAATGTTGTGACCTCTAGTTTACAACCAGTCAGCCACAAAAGTTTATACTAGACAAAGGGAAAAGAAACAACAAAAACCTTCCAGAAGAACAGGTGAGAGAGTTCTTCTCACTCTCCAATCCAGCTACTTTAGTTGGCAGATCCCTATTTTCTTTCTGTCCATGGAGATGCAGAGGTTGCTATCTTTTTATAATTCAAATTAACAGCACAGTAGTAGTGGTAATACCTAAATAAACTCAATGTGGCATCTCTCTGACAGACTATTACATACTTTAAATACTATTTTAAAATATAGCTGAAATACCAACTCTAATATATGACCAATTCATACTTTCTTTTGTTCAGCTTTGATCACCTGGCTGTTAGAGCCCACAAAATTCTATTCGAATTTAATATGAAACACCACAAAATGAAAAACAGTTTCCATTATTTTTTTGATAATCATTACCTATAGTAATATTTCCAAATGTTGTATTCTCACCCCAAGAAGAGTACAACAAGTGAGACGAAACAACTGCAAACCAACTTATTGATAAATATGCTCTTAAAAAACTATATGCATATACATAAAACAAAAAAAACAACATAGCCTCAATCACAAACTTGGGGTCAATTACATGAATAATTTATATTCATTCTTTTGCTAAGATTAACGTTGAGCACCCTGGCCATTCCACCGTATACTTTCTATGTCACGCCAGCACAGATATCGGGTAGCTATGTCTACTAAAGCTTAAGTAGATGAGAACGAAATCAACTAGCAAGGATCAGGGCTCACCAAATTCATTAACTGCTATCTCTTATCTTTAGCATAATTTCTTCATTACTATATTTTCTTTTCGTACTTGAGTTTGATATATCATACTTGAGCTGAGGATCTATTGGAAAAATCTTCTCTGCCTTCACAAGGTAGGCCTGTGCAATTACACTTGGTTAGTTGGTTTGTTGTTGTTGTTGCTAATGCTACACCTTAGGAGCTGAATCCTCTACATTAATTCAACTTTTCTTGGGTTCATTTCACTCCAATGCTCACTAATTTGTCATTTAAATCTTTGAAACAACTTCTAATTGGATCACTAACCATAGAGAAAGACGATAATTATTGAGAAGTAATTTATTTTTTAGGATAATTGTAGTGTCCGGGAAAGCTTTCGCACACCTATAACCACCCACCAACAACAAGTATCAGCTGCCTCTGTTCACTAAGGGTGGGACAAATGAGAAAAAATCACCTAGTGTTTTTGTCTTTGTTGGAATTCGAACCTAAAACCTCGTGATTCTCAATTCAATTCACGAAACCTCGTAATTACTAAAAAAAAAAAAGCAAAACGGAAATGATATAGAACAAGGATTAAAATAGAAGATTACCGCATAATCTTCTTCAGTTAGGTGTCGAACGATCCAAGTGTTGAATATGAACGGTATTCCCCTTGATAAAAATTGAGTAGCTACAAGTATAACACACTACTCAACAAAAAACTATATGAAGAAAAATATAAAATTGAACAGAGAAAAACTGAGAAGATAAGCACTGACCGAGCAAGTACTTGAATGTGTGAGATAGATTCGCCGGACGGTCACCTTCTTCACTTGATTTTGACATTGCTTTAACTAAATTTCTCTTTTCTATCTATGGCGTCGATTGATCGAACAAGTGAAGAAGAACATGAATAAAATTGGGTTTACGGCCCGCTCTTACTTTAAAGACTTGAACCGGGTTTATTCGGAGGAATTGTGGTGGGATTGCTTAAATCAAAGTCCGGGTTCAAAATTTGGATATAGAGAAAATTTCATTGGAGGCACAAAATAGGTTATATAATGCGCGATCTAGTTTTAGGGTCCATTTGGCTTAGCTTAAATATATTTGAGGAATTTTCGCAAATAGCCACTAAAATAAATTTAATTACGCTCTATAACTATAGTTTGCATATTTACGGGTTGTAGCTACAGTTTAAGCTGTCTCGTTTGTATAATTCGTGGATTTATATAATTCGCGGGTACATTTGTATAATTCAGTTATTTTTGTATAAACCCGAAATAACGAATTTATACAATTACAAACATCAAAAGTGTAAACATTTATACAAATTTCGAATTATACAAAAGTTATACAAATTCTGAATTATACAAACGTGTGAATTATACAAAATTAAAAAGTTGAGCCGTGTAATTATAGCTAAAAGTAGATCTCGAATTGTAATTAAGGTAAACTATAGCTATGTTAAGTAATTAACTAGTATATATTTGCTTATACACGTAATTTTCCCTTATTTTATACTCTTTTGTATCTTAAATATAATCTCTCTTCATTAAATATTTATTTTATTAAGGTGTTTATAGTCTTCAAGAACAATTCACAACGAAGGAAAAAATAATTAATTTTGTCTTAAATTTTTAAAGTAAAATAATTATTATTAGAGATTCAGATAGATAATTTAAGAATAGGGGATTTCTAAATAAGTTTTTTCATTTACAACTAAAACATTTGACTTCTAAAATTGTCGCAAATCATATTTTGATGCCCTGCTGTATATCTCTAATCATTGAATCAAAGCCAAAACTACAAAGAAAGCTAAAACAGCTAATTCTCCAACAACATAGTGATGAACTATATCAAATACACCATGTACAAGAGTGTTAAATGGACGAGTTGAATTAAATTTAAATAACTTAAAATGTGATTAGTTAATGAATGAGTGAGTTATTAATCCAATCAAACTCGGCTAGTCATAATTTCATAGCTAATTTTACCGCTCCTAATAACATATAATCCTCGTAAGTGTCGAGTCATCTTCCTTTCTGCAGTGATGCTGATGTGAAATGGTCCTTTTCTTACAACCGTTAAGAAGAAGAAACACACTGAAAAGAAGTATATATTTAGCAACATATCATGTCATGAAAACTAGAGCCAGGTCAAACAGACTCTACCTGCATGATGAGATAGTAGTAAGGTCTACGTACACTCTACCCTCTTCAGACCCCACTTAGTGTGATTACAGGACATGTTGTTGTTGTTGTATCATCAAAGAACACTATGGGGACAAGATGAGTGGGGAGTGGAAGTTTGGAGATGATCAAGGAGTCCTAGCAATGGTACTATGAATGATTGTTTAGGTTATTGATAGTTTTGGGCAGTTTACAAGCAAATCTCTCACACAATTTTCATTTAGCAACTGAGACTTTAAGGAAATCTATTGAGCAACACAAGGTTCTTAGATATTCACAAGATATTAAAGACAAATCTTCCATACAGGAAATCAGAAGATCTTCTAAATCTAGAAATTGAAGTAAATGTTTCCCTAACAACAGAAACCCTGCTCTAAATTGACAAATTAAAGTGACCTTAGCTCAACTACATCAGATTGTTCAGGAGGAAATCAACATCAGGAGTGACAACAGCCCGTTTTCCGAGTTCTCCCAGCTGACAACACTGCTTCTCAGCAGTGTTGATTGCAACAACATCTTGAGAAAAAGAGCATTCTACACCAGGAGAAACCTGCAAGTAATTTCTTGATGTTAGAGGAGTTTCATGTTGATAGACACATTGCAAGCTACTGCATATGGATAAGTATATGCTCGAGACCAAAAAAAAATGATTGAACATTATGACGAATGTATTTGCAAAAAACTGCAGGTCTATTTTCCACTTCCGTTTCACAGATCACTTTGCTAGCTCATACTTCAAATGCGAGGTAGATGAAATGGACTCATTAACCGAAGTACCAAACATTATGAAGCTTAAGAATTGTTTGAACCATAAGTCTCAGTGGAAATAAGGAAGAAAGAAAATGGAAAAAGATGTGATGCTTGTTCTGCTAAATAAATTGATTCTTTGCATGATAAAATGCTAAAGCTCGGGTCATTCATGGACAGTTCACAGTAAATACTCTGGAGTCCTAATAGTTTAACCATCTTACGGAAGTGTAATATCTTTAAACTGAGAAGAAGAGCTTATTATCAAACTGAAAATTTTAGTTTGTCTTGAAAGCAAGGAAAAGATGTGACTCACATCGTATAGAATGTCTCCAAGCTTCAATTTAATTGCTCCACTCTTGTAAACCAGCATTTTCCCCATGCTTCCCGCGGGCAACTCTTGCAAACTGCACCCTTTGTTTGTAGTATTATTATGTCGTCTGGAGATTGTAGAGCTGTCAGCTATCTCTTTCCCTTTTGCACTGGCAAGAAGCCTGGGAGCACTGCCAGCAACTTCTTTTCCCTTAAGAATAGGTGATGACAATGTTGCAGCTTTATCACTTTTATCCCCTGGCAACGTCAAGCAGACAGCAGTATCTCTACCTCCTGTGCTAGCTTGCAGCTTGCTTAGGGGTAAATTAGCAGGAAGCTGAAGAAAAAGAAGCTGCACATCATCCTTCTTTTCCTGTTAACCAAATATCCATATTAGTAATCTAAGGGAAGAACTTCTTGTTTTTTCTATGAATATGATTTTGTATTCTGAATTTACTGCATAGAGCAGATACCAACCAGTAAGCCAAGCTCTGAAGCAGGATTTATATTATTTTCATCATACACAGCATTTTTTGCAGCCTCTCCAAATTCAGCTTCATTTAAAATTTCTACAAGCCAGAAAAAACAGGAACAAATAAATGATAATGCGAAATCATGGCATGCAACATGAGAAACGAACAGGAGAGTTATATCATCTTCTTTAAGACAATATCATTCATACTAAATAAGCAATAGTTGCTGCATCATAAACCACAATAACTTTCTTTCTTTATCATCATTCATCACTAAATAAATGACTCAAACAAGTCACATGCCCAGAAGCAACCGACAATTGACAAGAGGGACTAAGCTACGCTCTTCCAATTGCAGCAAATGGTCGGAAATCATAGAGAAAGACACTAGCACTGTATTAAAAAGAGAAATACTTCTGACAACGTGGCAGATAAGTGTACTACACCAGGCACTGACATTAGCAAAAACTGAAGTTTCTTCTATTCAAAGTGGAGAAAGGTCTAAAAGTGGATAGGCCCAGGGCTTTAGGGTAGTGGTAAGAACACAATGCATGATATGTCGCCTAGGCACACATCACGGGTTTGAATCCTGCCGCAGACAAAAACTAGTTTTTAAGTGGAGAAAGGTAGAGGGGCAGCCTCAATATTCATCGAGTTTCGAACTGTGAGCCATTGGCCCTCGAGAATTTCTTGGTTATAAAAAAATCTAGGAGTGGATATACAATTTGATAAATTCACACTTTATGGTAAAATGACAAAAAGTTAGTTTCATATGGTAATATGAAATGGAAATTATAGGGACAAGCTCTAATTTGAATGATTGACATACTTTTAGGGCAACACACAGGAAAACAAACTAGTCTGTTAGGGGAAAAGGAAGTTAGATTATTTTTTCTTTAAAATGTTCCTGTTTATTCAGAAATACCTGGATCTCCAGCATATGGTCTTCTCAGAGGAAGGGTTACAGGATAGTTGCTATGATGGTAATCCTGCCAAAGAATCAAGAAGCAAAAGGGTCAATTAATGGATGTCGGCTTGGGCATTGTGGTGCCTAAAGAGATGTGATAGCAGGAAAAACCATTACCCAAGGTTCTTTATACTCTTTCTTCCTTTTAAGTAAAGAATCTGAATTATTGACTGACATTTCAGCAAGATCTGGTCCAGTACTTGAAGGTAAAGTAGGTAAAGAATCAATGTCCATGTTATCACAAGATTCATCGTCTTTCAGAGTACTATCCCGATTGACAGTGAGTTCCCTAGACTTCCCAAAAGTCTTTGTAGAAGTTGGTGATGCTACTCCATGAGCAAACGCAACCTCAACTGCAGCTTTCATTTGAATGTCAATGCACTTTCATAAGAAAAAATAATAATCATCGATGACCATAAACAATAAGGAATGAGAAAACTGCCAATAACTAATAGTATGATGAATAAACTGTCAAGGTGCATATGTCTAGCCAGACTTGCACACTTGACATATTGATCATGATGCATCTCATATAAAAACTTGAAGAGTGACACAAAACTGAAGCATCATTAGTGATTCCAGGAGAAGAGAAAGCTTACCTTTTTTCTCTGTTTTAGGTTTCTGTCTAGTCAAGCGCTCCTGATCAGACAAAAGAGAATAGTTATTGTCAACACTAGCGGACCCAGGATTATCATTAAAGGGGTGTCAATGGTTGTGTAGAAAATATAATTATTGTCATTTGTCAACTTACTATGAGGAGACTAAAGTTGTAAACTTGTAATAGAAATACTACTTAAATGATGCAATGTTTCAGTATGCATCCTTTCTTCTGTTATACATTTTTTGTCATTCATAAAGACCCTTTTGGATGGGATGAGCACAATTACTAAGAAATTGATTCACTTATATCCTCAATCAAATAATAGACGCCATATAAAATTCACTTATAATTCCACTTTAATCACCCATTTCTTAGTTGTATTTCACATTATATCATTTTTTTCTGGGATGATGTCAACTTATTGATATCAGTTCTACTCTAAACTTCATTCATTTTGATTTGAATCCCCATTATAACCTTCCCCTCTTCTTCTTCTTCCCTTTTTCATATTCACAGGACCACCCCGCCGAAAATAATTTCAAAACCACCTTTATTTTCTCTAATATTTTTGGACACACCTATATAATATTTCATTGGATTTTCCCAAAAGAACATTACTACTTTATAACTACCATCATC